AAATATAAACACAAAGTCAAGAGAAACCTAGGAAGATAAATTTATTTGATCAACTGGAAGGAGGTATATGATGATATCATGGTAACAATTTAATGGAGGATGAAAAAACAAGGGTTCCTTCAGAACCTCAATATGTTCGAAGGGTACTGAAGGAGTTAAATAAGAAAAAACAGAGGAGGGGAAGTGGGGGTCTGGAGGTTGGGTTAATTTTGTTCTGAACCAAATCAATTTGGTTTGTTGGTTTGAAGAGAGGAAAGAGAAGGGAGGATGAAAGGAAAACATAAATGGAGAAAGGATAAAGAAAGCAGTGAGATAGAACTTGCTTTTTCTTATAATTGGATTTTGTGGAACGAGTATAAAAATGTAGAGGAAGGGCTGGGGGGAATCAGATGAACCTCATCTTAATGTCAGTGCCTTTTTCTTGAGCTTATCCCTAATTTGTCCGTACATATCTTATTTTTATATTCTCTCCAGTTAGAACGTGAGCTCCTTCAGAGCAGGGACTATTTTTGTTGTTGTTGTTGTTCTTTGCCTTTTTTTTGTATCCCCGCATTTAGTACAATGTCTGGCATGTAGTAGGCATTTAGTAAGTACTTGTTGAGAGAAATGATTATTTCTTTCTTGTATTAATACCTAATTATTGAATCAGGACCAAGGATTTTCCCCCTTTTCTACTTACTCATGCAGAAATCAACCAGGGTAGAAAATCTCTCTCAAAGATTTACCTAAGCTAAAGATCTAAATAAAAAACAGTAAAAGAAATTCTAAGTTTAGGCTAATGGATGGATTCCTGCTCATTGTGTTTATCCAGATAGATCTGAGAAAATGTGGATTCTCCCTTTTGTCAGACAAGTGATATGGAAATTGATGTCTCTTTGACCAAGATGTGGGTGGTCCAACTCACATACCTCAAAGACCCTCACTTTAATATAGCCTACCTCCCATTAAATTTTCATTCTCTCTTATTACTTATTGACCAGTTTGAATTGATTTTCACCTTTAGGTGCACCCCTTTTCCAAAATCTTTATTAATAGCAAAGGTTCAACAGGTTTGGTCCCTTGGCTATCAAGGGGACAATGAACCTGTTTTTGTTGACTGCCTTCTAGCTGTAGTCAATAAAACTGATTTAAATTACCCAAAAACTCTGTCTCTTGGAACTTTTTAAACATCACATTGACTTGACTTGACCATCTGAGATGTACAAAGGAGAATTGAACCCATGTACATGTACAGTTGGGTGTAAAAATACATCAAACTCAACAAAGACAAAAAAAAATTGAGGATGAAATGGAAGGAAAAGGAGGAAGGAAAACATCAGAGAGGGAACAGCTGCAAAACAAATGTCCTGCTCCTGAAAGGAAATTAAAAAGAAAAAAAAAAGAGCTAGAATCTAAGAGGGTGCCCATCAATTGGGGAATGGCTGAACAGATTGTGGTATAGGAATGAAATGGAATATTATTGCACTGTAGGAAATGACAAAATATGATTTCAAAGAATCTTGGGTAATATGAACTGATTGAGAGTGGAGCAGAGGCAACCAATTTACATTGTAAAGACATTGTAAAGAAAAATAACTTTGAAAGACTTAATAACTCTGATCAACATAATGAGCAACCATGTCCAGACAGCTTATGATGAAGCACATTACCAACCTTTTCACAGAAAGGTGATAAACCAAGATGCAGAAAGAAATGCCCGTTTTAGGGCATGGCTATGGTATTCATTTTGCTTGACTATTGTTAGACAGGTAAACACACCAACTACACCATTTCTCGGGGAGGAGACACAGGAGGGCTTCTAGCACCTCTCTCACTAGCAGGTTCACTTTTGATCCAGTCAGACAGGAAGACAGGAAGGGAGTCATAAGGGGTTAAATAAGCTTACTTTATTCTAGTCTACTCTTCTCAAAGGGAGTTTGCTGATAATGGGAGCTCCAACTCCCACAGCATTCCCTAACAACTCTTCTCACAGGGGCCAGCATGAAGTGGGGGGCAATAACCCCTCCTGCTCGATGGGGTCAATCAAGACCAGCACAACTTGTGAACTCTCCTAAATCTCCTCAAGCCTCAATGGGGGCTGGTTAAAGCAAACACACAGATTCCCCCTCCCAAGCTTTGATGGGGGCCAATCGAGGCATGCACAGCATTCAGCCTGCACATTCACCCCTCTGGGGGTCCCCAGTCATTGACCAGGGCCCACTTGCTTTATAGGGCAACAAAGAAGGCATATTGCCAGCAATAGCCTCACAATTTTATATTACTTCATTCCTATATCTACCACGACTGCGCAGTAGAAACTGTTTTCAACTATGATTGTGAGAACTCATCTAACACCTGGGAAGTAGAGATTGTTATGGCTATGGATCCTGGAAAGAAAGCTCCAAGAAATAACAAAAAATACACTTTACATATGGTAAAATTCACCTTACTTACATCTATGTTTTGTTTTTATTTTATTTTATTGTAAAATTTTCTTCTTTTAAAGTAGGCCCTCCCTATCTTAGCCAGGCTGGAAACTGCTTTAAAAGATCAGTTTTCTGGGTTTTTTTTTTAATTTCCAAATGATTTTTAATCTAGAATGCATTTATTTAAAAGCAGCAGCTTTTGATGTTGAAAGTTTAAATCCCCATCAGCAAATATCTTCTAGAGTTAGTTTTTAGCACGAAAATTCTATTTATTTTAAAGACTGGCTCTCCCAGGCTGGAATTGAAGGGGCTACTTGTGGGCCAGTCCTACACTGACAGGCACAGGAACTTTGACCTACTTCATTTCAGAGCTGGCCCGATTTGCCCTTTCTTAGGCAACCTGTGGTCATCAGGCTTCCAAGAGGCTCACCATATTCATGATGAACTTAACACAGACAGCCAATCAGCATAGCTAATTTCAGCTTAGAACTCCAGAGCTCAAGATCTGCTAGCCTCAGCCTTCCAGGTAGCTGTGCATCATTATTACTGGTTGCTTGTTACATACTTTTTTTTCTTGATTTTTAAATTGAGGTTGGAGAGAAGAGGGGGCAGTGATACAGAGTGAGAGAGCACACCACAGGTCACTCACCTTCTCTGAGAGAGAGCCAATGAAACAATTTTTAAACTACACAGAAGAAGGTTCCAAAGGAAGCATAGACATGCAATTATACCTTTGAAAGTAAAATGTGGAATTTATCATAGACTTTTTTTTTAAATAAGGGGCATAAAATGAAGATTCATGGTTTCATGTAGAATCCTTTTTGTTTTCTCTTGCATACATGGAAATGCTTTTTTTAAAAGTGTTTAGTGTTTAAGTGCAGAATTTTTTTTTTTTTTGGCTAGGCAATGGGGTTAAGTGACTTGCCCTGGGTCACACAGCTAGTAAGTGTTATATGTCTGAGACTGGATTTGTACTCAGGTCCTCCTGAATCCAGGGCTGGTGCTCTATCCACTGTGCCACCTAGCTGCCCTTTAAGTGCAGAATTTTAAAAATTAAAAAGATGGAAGGTAACCACCAAGAAGAAGATGGGCCCAAGTCCTGACCTAGTTTGCCAGAAGACATTGAGGGAAACTGCAGGGCCAAGGTGAAACATCAGTTGCTTTATGTTCTTAGGAGGCGTAAGTATCAACCTCCCAGGGGCACATAATTATGCATATAATTTACTGAATCCTTTTAAGGGTTGCTCTCAATAGGAACGTGTGTCTTTTAGAATTTCTTTTTTGTGTAGGAAATACTGATTCCTATTCTACATTGAATACTGTTCTGCTCCCCATTTTTTGGGAAAACCAGGAACTAAACTCTTAAGTAATTTTCTCCTAGGGCCTCATGGAAGGGTGTTAGGGAGTTGAAAAATGTGAGAAAGGGGAGTCTAGTCTCCTGTCTTTGGAGGTCCAGATCCCCAAGACTGAATCAGGTAGGAATGCATGAGTTTACAGTTGATAGGGGCCCCTTAGAGGAAAGAGAGAGAGAGAGAGAGAGAGAGAGAGAGAGAGAGAGAGAGAGAGAGAGAGAGAGAGAGAGAGAGAGAGAGAGAGAGAGAGAAAGAGTGTGTGTGTGTGTGTGAGAGAGAGAGAGAGAGAGAGAGAGAGAGAGAGAGAGAGAGAGAGAGAGAGAGAGAGAGAGAGAGAGAGAGAGAAAGAGAGAGTTGGTTCAGTGCCACAGACCCTTGGGCCCAGTCACAAGTCTTTCTTGTTAGATAGACCTCTCTAACGTAGCCCAAGATCACACGGCTTTCCTGGCTGCCAATTACACTGGTAACTCATTCATTGGTTTTGTAGTACACACAATCCTCTCTCTATATTTTTAGACAAGCTGTTGACCATGAATTGTAAATGTGATTTCATTGGTATGGGGAAAACCCAGGAAGGAAGTTCCCTCTGCCAAGGCCTATTAGCACTTGTTCTACAAATGACAGTCCCAGAGAGATGAAGCATTGAGGAAGGGAAGTGACTTGCCCAAGGTCACACATCCAAGACGTGTCAGAGGCAGGACTCAAACTCTGGTCGTCCTGATTGACTCTGAGACAGGCTCTTTATCCATATGCCAAAGCCAGATCAGCAAAAGCAAACTGCATACACAATAACTACAGTGATATGAAAGAAGAAAACAAGGCCAAAGGCAGTGGAACTCCAGGTAGACTTATTAGTGGACACAAAAAAAGCATATTGCAATTTTTTTTGTTAATTTATTTAGTTCTACCCTGTCAAATGCTAAAGGCTTATGAAAACATTAATTTTTCTTTCTTCATGTGTATGCTTATTTGATTACTTGGTTTTGTTGAGAGTCATGGATTTTTTAAAAAAAATTTTCACATAAGGCATTGTCTATAGAAGACCAGGGTTGAACTCCTAATTCTGCCACTTGCTAGGACAAGTCACTCACCTTCTCTGAGCCTCAGCTTTCTTCTCTGTAAAATGGAAGTGATAATACTTGTGGTATTTACTATATCGTAACTCAATAACTCACCGTCACTGAGAGACAAATTAAATCATGTGAAAGTACTGAAGAATCCTGAAGGCTTAGATTATGTCAGATGTCAAGTTTATTATATTCATTGAATTTGTGCACATAGAATGAATATTTTTTATTTTCTGGTTCCTAGTCCTGAATATGATATATTTAATATTCCTTTTCTAACTCAGAAAACAATGATTTCCTTTAGATGAACTTAATAATATGAAATGTTTATGTGTTAAGATTAAGCATTTAAGTACTCAAAACAAGAATTAATCACATCAAAATGTCAAAGTTAAACACTAAATTTTCTATATCATAATTATTCTTTTTTATATTGCAATAGATAACATTTGCTTACAGTGAAGTAGCTTGTTTTATCTAATTTTCAAATGCCTAACATAAGCTGAATATAATCATAATTTAGTAACTTTCTTTTCAAAGTGAAGTACTTTATATACCCAAACAGGAAAAATCTTCAAATACAATTTGACAGACTTTAGCCTTGACTGTAATTAAGTGCTTTGTGAAGAGGAGATCTGGTGCTTATTGGCTGAATTCCCAACAGCTGCTTAGTGGCAGAGTCCCAGTCTTTACCCAACTCAAGCCGAGAGCAAAGAGATGGATATTGTGCTTCTGTTCTTCTTACCCATTCCACTGCTTTCTTTACTGAATCAAAACTCCAGTATTTGTCACAGGATCTAAGAATAAATGAGACTATTAAACCTCAAAATATGGCTATATAAGAAACCAGGCTTGTGGCCTGGCATTTTATATTAGAAGAAATCTTGTCATAAATAAAAACATTAGGAATACTACCTTTACATTTAACAAAAACAACTAATTGAGACAACCAAATGCTTTGGCCTGTCTTTTGTATCTCTTCAGAATAACAATGACCCTCGCATATTTAGTCCTTGTCACTGTCTTGGTCCTTATTCCCACATCTACACTACTGCCCAGAATATCCTTCCAAGGTCTTTCCATTTCCCCACATCCTACCATCTTTCAAGGCCAAGCTGAAATAACACTTCTATTAATCCTTCCCAGACCATTCCAACCCATATTGACTTCTTCCTTCACTTGAATTCATATTGCACTTGTAACCAGTATAACCAGCTAGCACTTAATTGAAGATGGTTTATTAGAGAGGAAATATGGCTGTTGGTAAAGAGCTACACCTGGAGTCAGGAAGAGCTGAATTCAAATCCAGCCTTTGAGAATTACTAGCTACGTGACTATGGGCAAACACTTAATCTCTCGGGGTATCAGACAAGGGTAACATCTCATAAAGCAGTTAGGAGAAGTGGAGGCCAAATGCTTTACAAACTTTAAAATGCTATGGAAATACATTATCATTATTAACCATTTCATCTATGTTAGTTCTGCCTCCCAATTTACCTGAAAATTAATAGAGCCAGCTAGGTTTTGTAAGCACTGGGTCTGGAGTCAGGAAGATCTGAGTTCAAATCCTGCCTCAGACATTTACTAGCTGTGTGACCCTGGGTCACACACACATCTGCCTGCCTCAGTTCCCTCATCTGTAAAATGAGGATAATAATAGCACCTACTCCCTAGGATTGTTGTGAGGATAAAATGACATAATATTTATAAAGCACTTTACAGACCTTAAAACCCTATAAAAATGATAGCTATTATTATTAAGGGCAAGTGTCATAGTTTACACCGATTTCTGTATTTCTGATAGCTAGGCACATATTAGACATTACTAAGTACTTGTTAATTAAGATCGATGATTTGAAAAGTAGAAAACATTTTCCTAAAAACAGTGCTTAAAAGCTCTAACAACACACTTTGAAAGCTCACCTTGATTTTAGTTGATTAAAATAAAAAGAAAGGGTCATTTGTATTTTACTTTACTGCCTTCTTAATATAATGAATGGGATTTCTAATATCACTGTACTAAAAAAGGGATCTGTGAAGAATGCCAAGGATTTCCAAGAGTAGGTTTTGAAATAAAATTGTATTTGAAGTTCTCCTTTGCTTTGGGCAAGATTTAGGGGTCATTAGTAATTTAAGAGCATCAGAACTTACACTCTATACTTTATATACATTTTACTATTATTGTTTTTGTAGCGCTCAACTTTTCAGCCTTCACAAAGTCCTGTGTAGCGTCTCATTGTGGTATGGAGCTGAGCCCAAAGCTCTTGAAATTTATGCCAGCAGAGCAAAGCTATTACGCTGGAAAGGTCAACAGACTCTCTGCTCTGAGGACTAACCCAGCTAAGAATGGAGAGGCTTCTCATCTCCCGTAGGATGGCCACAGAGTGACCACATTCTTCGGAAACCCATAGAAAGGGACATTTCAAAACTTCAATTGATCTGAGATTTCATTGATAGAGTGTTCTCTCCAAGATTCAGGTTACAACAAAGGGCTGATAGCCAGATAAATGAGGAGCTAGCACCCAGCGGCCTTTGATGAATCCAAGTCACCTGGCTCAGATAAACTCTATCCTTGGGTCCTAAAAGAACTGGCAGATGGGATTGCTTAGCCACTGTTGGAATATTTGAAAGAACACAGAAAGCAGGAGATTTCTAACCACGAGATTAGAAAAAGGCAAATACCCTTTTTTTGGACATCTATTCCTGAGAAAATTCTAGAATGATGTTTGAAGAAATTGTTGGTGAACATTTTTATTTTTATTTACTTTTTTAGGCAATTGGGGTTAAGTGACTTGCCCAGAGTCACACAGCTAGTATCAAGGGTTTGATCTGAGGGCAGATTTGAACTCAGGTCCTCTTCATTTCAGGGCTGGTGCTCTATCCACTGCGCCACCTAGCTGCTCTTAGTGAACATTTTTAGAAAGGAGCTTCCAGACCTACAGTTACACCAGACTGATAGCATTTCCTTTTTTGACAGGATACTAGCAGACAAGGGAGATGCTATGGGTGTAGTTTATTAGATTTTGGCACCGCTTTTGATAAAAAGTATCTCATACTATTTTTGTGGAGAAGATGGGACTAGACAACAACGCAATCAGATAGATTAAGAACTGCTCACGTGGCCTGACTCAAAGAGTAGTTGCTAGTGGTTTCCAATGGAGAACCTTGCTGTATTTGCCCCATGCTGTTTAACATTTCCATCAAAGGCCTGGCATAGACAAAGGCAGAAATGCTGTGCTCATCAAATTTGCAGATGACATGAAGCTGGGAAGAATAGTTAATAGTAGATGACATAATCAGGATATAAAGGATCTTAATGGGCTAGACTAGAGTATCGTGCCGAATCTATCTGATGATGAAATTCAAGAGGGATAAATGTAAAGTCTAGCTCTCAGGAACAAAAAATCAACTCCACAAAAGTAAAACAGAGAAGGCACAGTTAGACGTAGCAGGAATAATAATTACAAAACATTTCCTTCTCCTGCCCCCAAACCTGGATCATTGTGGTTTGCTGTTCAGTTGTGACCAATTCTTTGTGACTTCATTTGGGGTTTTCTTGGCAAAGATAGTGGAGTGGTTTGCCATTTCTTTCTCCAGATTATTTTAGAGGTGAGGAAACTTGAGGTAGAGTTAAGTGATTTGCCCAGGGTCACACAGCTAGTAAGTGTCTGAGGCCATATTTCAACTCAGGAGCTTGAGTCTTCCTGACTGTAGAGCTGGCACTCTACCCACTGAGGCACTTAGCTGCCCCAACCTGGAGCATCCTCTCCCACAAGTAAACACAGAGTCCAGAGGTGGAGAGAGTGGACACAGACTTAAAGTACAACAGTATTAAGGCACATGTGACCAAGACAATTCAGAACTCAGGAAGTGCAGGGCCTAATGCTCCTTCTCTCTCCAGGCCTCCTGAAGGTCACTTAGGGTATTGTGTGGGGTGATGGAGGAGGCTGAGCAGGCTCCACTCAGGGCACAGAACTTAGCTGGATAGTGATCTCAGTGGGGCTTGCTCCTCTCGGATATTGCATCTCCACTGGATGAGTCAATATGCTAAACCCCCTGGCTCACTTTTTGACAGGCAGCTCGCATTTCTACCACCCCCAGCCTCAGGCTTGCCTGGGTGCCACTGTGCTCTGTAGCTAGAGTGCTGCCTTTGTGGGAGATTCCTAGCAGAGGACTGGCTGAAGCCTTTCCAGTTCTGCTCCTTCAGGGCCTCAACTCTTCAGTTTGCTCTCATCTCCCACCAGGGAGGAGGGACAGGGGCAGCTTCTCCTGTTTGGCAAATCTTCCTGTTTCAGGGCTCAGTTACTTTGGTGACGGACTTTGCCCTACATAAAGATAACCTACATGTGCATATCCCAAATTCCTGGATCTATGCAAATGAGCGGCAGGGAATGGCTCCCTAGGCTTTTTTGGTTCTGGGTTCGTTGTTAATTCCAGTTTTTTCACATGCAATTGACCACTTCTGGTTCCCCAAAAATTGTAAAATGTTTTATTTGCACTTGAAAGGGCCTCAATCATCCATTTCACCATCTCTATTTTTGCCACTTAAGACTTCAAACTTTGCTGAAATCTAAAAAGCACACACCCCTAAATAATGATTTATGTTTTATAATATTCTAGACATAGTCTTGGACATAGGAATGTACCTCTATATGATGTTAGAAGAACAGCTAATATTTCTATATTGCTTTCATATTGCTTTTGCAAAGTATTTTACAGACATCATCACATTTGACTCTCACCATAGCCCTTTAAAGAGTGACATGACTTGCTTATGGTCCTAAAGCACAGTGAATATCAGAGACAGGATTTTCATACAGGTCCCTGCTTACCTCGAGTCCCTTTTAAACTACACCACACTGCTTGCAAAGTCAATTAATAACATAAGACTAAAAGAAAAATGTTTCACCTACTTCAGAAAAACTGATTCCAAGGACTGTACAAGGACTCATTTACATAGTACATGAAATCGGCCAATAGGATGTGCCAATTCCCAATCATTTATTGAAACACATTTCCCAAAGATCTCTACTTGCCAATGTTCATTGACTTAACCACTCTTACTACATCTGCTGCATATCCTTGAAAGCAATATACCTGATTATTTAAAAATATTACATAATTCAGATTGGCTTTTCCTCAGTCAAAATATTTTTTATTGAGTACCTCCTATTCATTCAGAGAGGACAAAAAGGATGTGAACTAAAAAAAGGTCACTGGATTTGGCAATTAGGAAGTCAATGGTACCTTTTGACAAAGCAGTTTCTGCAGAGTGGTGATAACAGAAGCCAGATTATAAGGGGGTTGAGGAATGAATAGGAGGGAAGGAAATAGATATATCAAATGGAGGCAACTCAAGAAGCTTTACAGTGACAGCAGGGAGGGAGAAAGGAGGATGGCTATTTGGGGTGCAAGGTTGTTGTTTTTTTTTAAGATTGTGATTAGTACTGTACGAAATTATACAAGCTAGATCGAAGCAGTTTGTTAGTTTAATTTTAATACTGTCTTATGATTAGAGGTTGGGAAAATAGTAAAGATAGAGGGGCTAGCCGCAGAGGGATGAAGATGTAACCATTCACTGAAAAGCTTCTCTAGTAGAAGAACTGTAATATTATGGATTTAGAACTGGAAAGTCTATTTGAGATCAGCTAGTCCAGAGGTGTCAAGAGAAGGAAAGGATGGGGACAACTGTACCTTGATCAGCAATGTATTGCCTCTCTCAACCATCAATTATGTGACTAACAGTCACGATACATATCTTGCAGGGGCAAGATGAGAAACCTCTATCGGAGACTTTTATATGCTTAAGATTGTAGGAAGATTTCTGAAAAACCTTCATTTAATCCATATTAAATATAAAGTTGAGTTGCTTCTTGAGAGAAGGAATTGTTTCATTCTTTATATCTGTATTTCTAGCAGCTAGGGGTTCTTGGCTCATAGCAGGCAGTTAAGAAGTGCCTGTTGGTTGACTGATTGCTCAATACTGACTGTAAAGCATACCTGTAAGCAGCTGAGTCATCTAATTTCATCAGTGACTTGACGGCTATCCCCTAGCTCCAGCTTAGCTCGAATGAGCTGTAGCACCAGAAATGTGGCAATCAGCTGTAATACATCTTCTCTTCCTTTGGAACCTAAAAGAAAAGTCCTAGCAGTCACTTGCAATTGCGAATATTAATACTACTAAAAATATGAAGACATAATAGATCATGAAACAATATGCAGAACAACACTCTGCAGAACACATTTAATTTAATGTCCTTAATATTAAATAAGAGCAATATACAAAAGTGACACTCACTATATTACATCACTGCGAAGGCAGCTAAGCTTGGGTTGGTTCTGCCAAACTTGAAAGACTTTGATGATAGGCCTGGTGATGGGTTTTTTGTTGGTTGTAGACAGCCAGTTTGGTTAAGTTCAGACAGTCTCGTCACCCAAAAGGTGGCCACCAGGTGATGATGCTTTTTTGGCCATAGTAACTCACAAAATTGAATATTAAGGAGGAATGGTTTCAATCTGCTTCTGTACAAGAAGTTCCCATCCTGATTAAATCATAGGTCATTTGGAGTAAACTAGAAAACTCGAGACCATGTATGCATGGTGAAGAGGCACAGCTTTGAGGAATCATTCTTTCTGTTAATGAAGAAAGTCTTATTCAAACACCTAGGCTTGAGCCCAAGATTACATGTTCAAAAGTGGTTCTTGAATTTTTTGTAGCTTAAAGAAGTCTTCACTTTAAATCTAAACAAAACTTAGGTAGAACTTTTAGTAAAATCTCTAAAAATTATGTTCTAAAATGCTTATTTAACACATTTTTCACTTTATTTTTCTTGCTTTTTTTGTAACATGTTTAATATAGAAATATGTTATGCATGATTTCACATGTGTAATTGATATATTGCTTGCTTGCTAATGAAAGCTTTGAGTTTTATCTGCTATCAGCTTTTCCATCTCTTATATTCTACACTGAAAATTACAAAAGAGTTAGGCCAGTTGAGCCATGATACCTTATGACTGAAGGTAGTGCAAAACTGACTTAATGTCCCTTGAATCCCTGAGGCTCGTCTCCAGTAAACAACCTTAAGCTCAACTCAGCCCTTTACCTGTTGCTAACACACTTGTGTTCATCAGGGTGTCTAGACTTAAGGGTCAAGCAAAACAAACTCACAACACATTGGCAATCTGACATTTAAAGCACTTTCAATCTGTCTCCAGCCTATTTTTACAGGTTTATTCCCCTTCACTCACTCCACTCACTCCAAACTAGACCATTGCTGCACTTAGGACTTAACATCCTGGCTCTCATCTTTGTACCACAGGCTGCCTCCCTGCCTAGCATTCAGCCTCCTTTCTCCCTTTGCCTCCTAAGATACTATCTTCTTTTCAAGGTTCGGCTCAAGGGTCATATTTTATTTTATTTTATTTTTAAAGGCAATTGGGGTTAAGTGACTTGCCCAGGGTCACACAAAGGGTCATATTTTAAATGAAGCTTTTCCTAATGTTATTGTTCCCACAAATGTTAATGCTTTTGCTTCTCAAGTGATCTCTGTGTCCATGCTATACCCCACCTCCAAGAGATTTGAGGACAGGGATTATTTCATTTTCGCATTGCCATCATCTAACAACATGCTTTGCACACAAGAGCTTATTGACCAATCACATATAGAGGCATAAATTCAGATATCACTTTGGGCTATTACTTCTCAGCATTTCTCCCTACGAAACAGTGAAATTAAGCCAAAGTCTATATTTAGCCTGGAAACTAGTGCTTTGCAAATCTGCCTTTATTAGCATTCTTTTGATCACAGGACCATAAATTTGGAGTTGGAAAGGACATCAGAGATCATCTAGTTCTACTGCTTCATTTTACAATTGAGAGAACTGAAGCCTAGAGAGATGAAGGAATTGCTCAAGGTCACCCAGGCAGTAGCAACAGAGAAGAGTTTAAACACAGATCCTCTTAACTCCAAATCTAGCCCTTTTTTCACTATGCCACACTCCCTCTCCCCAGTTGAGGGCTTCAAGTTCAAGAGACAAAATTTTGAAGCTGTATCAATATCTTCCACCTAGCAATACAATCAGGATATTAACAGTGTTAATTGGGACAGCTTGGTGGCGCAGTGGATAGAACTCTGGCCTTGAAGTCAGGAGGACCTGAGTTCAAATGTGGTCTCAGACACTTGACTGGGCAACTGACTGGGCAAGTCACTTATTCCCGATTGCCTCACCAAAAAAAAAAAAACCCCAAACCCCGCAAAAACCCAATGTTACTCCTTTGACTAATCTCAACGTATTTAACCATTTAAAGGTTTTAAAGGTAAGCATACAAATACATTTATTCTGAATGCAGAACACCAAAAAAATTCCTTTATAGTTAATATACATACAATCATTCTATCTGTTGAATACTAGAAAGGAACTGAGTTTACCTAGCGATTGGATGCCTTTTTGCACAAGAAAGATATTTAAATTATTCACATTCAGATTTAAAATCAGCCCAAGTTCAAGGTTAAGTTTCCAAAAGCCCTCCTGCAAAATTAAGGGGAAAAATAATGAAAATTAGAATTTCATCTCGTAATGAAAAAAAGTGATGAATCTTTTATATTTTAATTCAATCAAGATTTTTTAAAATTTGTATTCCTATAGTGTTAAAATGCATAGTGGAGTCCAATAAATCTTACTAATGAAAATATGATACCACATTGCAATTTTTTGAATACCACAAAAGTTAAACTCCTGATAGCATTTATAAATAAGAAGGTAGATCATCAGTAAAGTTGATTTTTTAAAAAATGAATCTGGACTATAAATGTTCTTAAATATATCAACATTTTCAAGTTTAATGTCTAAGTATCCATGTTATGTAAATTATTGGAAGCCACCACATGGCTGATATGGAACTTTGGACATCCTGATCTCTACCCAAAGGGAAGGATTCTTGGTGATTCAGAGTATCAAAAAAAGTACTAAGATAGGTAGAGACGCAGGTTAAAGGGCGGATATTTATGTAGGCCTGATCTCTAGAATGTTACTGGTGTGGTCAATCACTTATCATCAGTGTTTCCATTACAATTAACAATTATAGCTAATGAGTTAGGTCTTATTACCAGTACAGGAGTTCAATGTATAAAATGTTCATTTGCTTTGTCTACGATAGGATGAGTTTGTGACTGTTATCACATTTGGAAACATATCTATATTCTAAAGAGATGATGTATGGAAAAACATACATATTATACACATGTATGCACATGTATGTGCATACAACATATAGTTTTACATATATATTTAAAGTTACACATAATAAAGGCTATAGTTCATACTGAAAACTGAAAAAAAAATCCTGAATACCATATATAAATTCAAAAACATATACATTTAAAGTTTTTGTCCCTCTTAAAAGCTTATTTAGAAACAACCTAGGGCTTCAGAAAATACGGCCTTTGCACTGATCCTAATTTTTCCTTAAGAGGAAAAGCAATGTTCAGTAGCAGAGTGTGCTAACCAGCTGGGACAGTTACTAGTAAAGAAAGATGTAGAGGAAAGACAGATACCTCACTCTGAAGCCTAAAAACTTGAGTCCAAAACACCAAATTCTCTTTAATACCGCTCAACCAACTTTCTCTGTGGGTCATATCAGTCTGGTGTTTTTGTGTCTGAAAGGCAAAGATAAAGTCAGTAAAAAGGTTCTTTCATGTTAATGGTTATATAGATCTTATCCAACTTTAGTTATGTTTCCAAAACATGTTGTCTTACCTCAGCAATTGATGGAGTAACATCCTGTACTCTGGAACTCTTCATTGTAAATAAAGAACCTGAAGACTCTCCATCACTGGATGGAGAAGATGTCCACTCATGGGACCATGACAGTTGTTCATCATTTTCCTCTCCAAAAAAATGTTCATGACTTGATGCAAGCACTTGCATTTCCCCCCCAAATAATGATGAGCTTCCATAATCAACATTTGGAGGGGAGGCAGACCTTTCCTGAACTTTTAAAAATGATTGCCTCAGTCCCCTAGGTTTTCGAATCTTAGGTGAGTCTAACTGAGACCTAGACTGGGCAGACTCAGAAAGAAGAGGAGGAGCAAGAGAAGAGTAAGAAAATGGAGCAGGAAGTGGAGGTGGAAGATCAGGACGAGAACAAGGAGAGCCAAAAACACTACCTGAACGTTGGACTAAAGGAGGAGGAAAAGGAGAGTTTGCAGAAAGAAAACTAGAAGTAGTGAGGGTACCACGAGGTAAGCCAAAGCCTGATTTAGGATGGGAAGAGGAGAAACTGGAATGAAACTGGAAACTAGCCAGAGGAAGAGGAGGGGAAGGGGGAGGAATTGAAGAGCAAAGAGTGAAGGGGTTTGTACCCTCCCAATCCAGTTTTTGTTTATTAAATAAAAATGTCACACCTGAATCTTTCTTAGTTAGATCTAATGCCTTGGCATGGTAATACCGGTCAGAAGCAAGAAGGAGATTTTCTGTTGATATTCTTGGTAATGCATCATAGGAATGAAATGGAGCAGAACAGATTTCCTCCATTGGAGAATCCAATTCTAAGCCCTCAGCTATGTGTGAGAATAGTCCAGTCTTTTTTTCTGGACTGCCATGGAAATGATGTGGTGCTGAATATTTCTTCACAGGAGAAGTAATATCTGAAAAAGTAGCATTCCCTGAACCTAATTTAAAACCAGCTGGATCTTCATTAGAAGTTGTAAAATATTTTAGCTTTTTTTTGATACGTTTTCGCTCAACCTGTGATATTTCATGAAGAAAAGGGAAAAACAGAAAAAAATACATTATTTCAGTCTTTCAAGCAGTTGAACAACTATGTTCCCTAACAAGGAAAGAACATTTGAGAGAGGTGATTTCCAAAGTAACCTAGATTAAGACAACAGGAAGCAAAAACACAAGATACATAAGATATAAATTAATTCTTCTAACATGAATGAGACACTAAAGGTTTCCTAAAGATTTTTAAACTGTTATTGTTATATTCCAGTTACTCTTTGGATTTTTTCCCAGTTTCCTGCTTTTTCTTCTAATTTTGGCTGCACTGGTTTTATTTGTGCAAACCTTTTTAATTTCATGTAATCAGAATTGTCTATTTTATCTCCTATTATCCTCTCTGTCTCTGATTTGGCTTCTTATCCACAGATCTGACAGGTAATTTTTTTCCATGCCCCCCTAATTTATTTATATCACTCTTTATGTCTGAATCGTGTACCTATTTTGAGCTTATCTTGGTATATGGTGAGAGATGTTGGTCTATGTTTAGTTTCTGCCAGACTGTTTTCCAATTTTGCAGCAGTTTCTGTTGAATACTGAGTTCATGCCCCAGTAGCTTGGATCTTTGGATTTATCAAACACTAGGCTACTGTAGTCATATTTCTGTATATTGTGTACCTAATCTATTCCACTGTTCAACACTCTATCTCTTACCCAGTACCAGACTATTTTGATGATTACTGCTTTGTAGTATAGTTTGAGATCTGGTAGAGCTAGGAAGCCTTCTTACGTTTTGGTTTTTTTTTTTAAACATTGATTCCTTTGATATTCTTGACTTTATGTTCCTCCACATCAATTAAGTTACTCTTTTTTTTTTCTAGTTCTATAAAATAATTCTTTGGTAGTTTGATATTCTATTAGTATGACAGTGAATTTAGGAAATTTAGGAAATTTAGGGAAATTAATTTTAGGGAAATTGCATGAGGAATTAGGGAAATAAAAAATTAATTTAGGAAAATTAATTTAGGGACTATTGTCATTTTTATTATATTGGCTCCATCTACCCATTAGTAATCAATATTTCTCCAGTTATTTAGATCTGTCCTTATTTGGGTGAAGTGTTCTATAATTGTGTTCATATAGTTTTATAATTGTGTTAATATAGTTTCTATGATGTCTTGGTAAGTAGACTTTCAAATATTTCACACTGTCTGCAATTATTTTAAGTGGAATTTTTCTTTCTATCGTTTCCTGCTGGGTTTTGTAGATAATATATAGAAATACTGATGATTTGTATGGGTTTATTTTATATCTTGAAACTTTGCTAAAATTGTTAATTGTTTCAACTAGTTTTTAGTTGATTCTCTAGAGCTAAGTAGACCATCATATCTTCTCCAAGAGTGATAGTTTTGTTTCCTCAATGCCTATTCTTATTCCTTTAATTTCCTTTTTCTTGCCTTATTGCCATAGCTAGCATCTCTAGTAAAATATTGAATAATAATGGTGATAATAATAATGGTGACATCCTTGCTTCACCCCTGATCTTACTAAATAGGCTTCTAGTTTATCCCTATTACAGATAATGCTTGCTCTTGGTTTTAGACAGATACTATTTATCATTTTGAGAAAAGCCATTTATTTCTATGCTTTCTAGTGTTTTTAATAGGAATGGGTGTTGTATTTTGTCAAAAGCTTTTTCAACATCTAAGGATAGAAAGAAACATATTTTTTTTTGCTTTTGTTATTGATATTATATTATAGTTTTCCTAACATTGAACCAACCTTGCATTCCTGGTATAAATCCAAGCTAGTTACAGTGTATAATCTTTGTGATACATTACTGTAGTCTTTTTCCTAGTATTTTATTTAAAATTTTTGTGTCAATATTCATTAGGGAAACTGGTCTAAAGCAGGGGTGGAGAACTTGTGGGCTTGAGGTTCCCCAACCTGGTCTAAAGTTTTCTTTCTCTGTTTTTGCTCTCCCTGGGTGAGGTACCAAAACCACATTTGTGTCATAGAATGAATTTAGTAGGACTCCTTTACTTATTGTCCCAAATAGTTTATATAGTATTGGAACTAATTGTTTATTAAACATTTGGTAGAATTCATTTGTAAATCCAGCTGTCCTGGGAATTATTTCTTAGGAAGCTCATTTATGACTTGTTCAATTTCTTTTTCTAAGATAGAGTTATTTAAGTATTCTATTTCTTCTTCTGTTAATCGGTTTTTTATTTTTATATTTTTGAGTTATATTTATTTATATTTTTATAAACATTTTATTTTATTTATATTTTTATATTTATCCATTTCATTTAGATTGTCAATTTTATTGCCATGTAATTAGCAAAATAGTTCCTTATAATTTCTCTTAATTTCATCTTCATTGATGGTATTTTTGGCTTTTTCATTTTTGATACTAGTAATTTGGTTTTCTGTTTTCTTTTTAAAAATCAAATTAAATAACTGTGAATACCCTTTGATCTAGCAATGGCACTACTAAGTCTGTAACCCAAAGAGATCATAAAAGATAGAAAAGGACCCACATGTTAAGATATTTATAACAGCTCTTTTTGTGGTGGCAAAGAATTGGAAACTGAGGAGATGCCCATCAATTGAGGAATGGCTGAACAAGTTGTGGTATATGAATGTAAAAGAATACTATTGTTTTATAAGAAATGATGAGCAGGTAGATTTCAGAAAAACCTGGAAAAACTCACATGAACTGATGCTGAGTGAAGGGAGCAGAACCAGGAGAACAGTTGTACACAGTAACAGCCACATGGTGCAAGGATTAGCTCTGACAGACTTAGCTCTTCTCAGCAATATAATGATTTAAGACAATTCCAAAGAACTCATGATGGAAAATGCTATCCACATTCAGACAAGGAACTACAGAGTCTGAATGCAGACTGAAGCCATACTATTTTCTTTCTCTCTTTTCTTTTCTCTTTCTTGTGATTCTGATTCTTCTTTCTTGACATGACTAATGTGGAAATATGTTTAATATGACTGTACAAGTATAGCCTATATCAGATTGCATGCCATCTTGGGGAGGGGAAAAGGAAGGGGAAATTTGGAACTTAAAATCTTATAAAAGTGAATGCTGAAAACTAAAAATAAATTAAAAAATTAAAATTACCAAAAAAATCAAATTAAATAATGGTTTATCTATTTCATTTTTTTCATAAAACTAGCTCTTAGTTTTATTTATTAATTCAATTGTTTTTACTTTCTATTTTATTAATCTCTCCTTTGATTTGTAAGATTTCCATTTTGATACTTAATTGGGGATTTTTAATTTGTTCTTTTTCTAATTTTTTTTTAGTTGCATGTCCAATTCACAGATTTGCTCTTTCTCTCTTTTACTGATATAAGCATTGAGAGATATAAAATTTCCTGTAAGTTCTGCTTTGGCTGCATCTCACAAATTTTGGTATGTTGTCTTATTGCTGTCATTTTCTTTAATAAAAGTATTATTTCTATGAATTGTTCTTTGACTTACTCATTCTTTAGAATTAGAATATTTAGCTTCCAATTAATTTTTAATCTATGTTTCAAAGGCCCTTTATTGAATGTAATTTTTATTGCATTATGATCTGAAAAGGGTACATTTAATATTTCTGATTTTCTGACTTTTTAATGCCATAATACAATTTATATTTTATTTTTGTGAAGATGCCATACCTACCTGAGAAAAGGTATGTTCCTTTCTATTCCCATTCAGTATTCTCTAGCGATCTATCACATCTAACTTTTCTAAAATTCTATTTAGCTCTTTATCTTCTTTTTTATTTATTTTATGGGTAAGATTTATCTATGTCTAAGAAGTGAGGTCCCTCAATAGTATAGTTTTACTATAAATTGAGATCCTCCAATAATATAGTTTTACTGTCTATTTTCTCCTACAATTCATTTAACTTTTCCTTCAAGAATTTGGATGCTATGCAATTTGGTGCATATATATTTAGTATTAACATTAATTCATTGTCTATGGTACTTTTAACAGAATGTATTTACTCTGATTATCTCATTTAATTAGGTCTATTTTTGCCTCTGCTTTGTCTAAAATAAAAATTGTTACTCCTGCCTTTTTTACTTCAGCTGAAGCATAACAGATCCGTATGCTCCAGCCCCTTACTTTAATTCTGGTTAAAGTATTTGGGTGTCTTTCTATTTCAAGTGTGTCTCTTGTAAACAACATATTGTTGGATTGTGGTTTCTAATCTAATCTGCTAAGTAGCTGTATGGCACAGTGGAGAGAGTGCTGGGCCTGGAGTTAGGAAGACCAATCTTTCTGAATTCAAATCTGGCTCCAGACACTTACTAGTTGTGTAGCCCTGGGCAACTCATTTAACCCTGTTTACCTCAATCTCCTCATCTGTAAAATGAGCTGGAGAAGGAAATGGCAAACCACTCTAGTAGCTTTGCCTAGAAAACCCCAAATGAGGTCAGGAAGAGTTGGATACAACTGAAATGACTAAACAACAATAAATCCTTTCTGCTATCTGCCTCTGTTTTATGGGTAAGTTCTTCCCATTCCCATTCACAGCTATGTTTATTAAGTACACTTCCCTCCATCCTATTCCCTTCTTCTATTTCTTCTTCTTTTTTTAAACTCGGTATCTTCCTCAAAAGGTTGTTTGGCTTCTGATTACTGCCTCCCTTAAAATAAAAATCAAAACAACTCTAACGTTTCATCTTATACCCTTAAATTTGGCAAAGATGATAAAAAATGTCAGTGTTGGAGGGGTTGTAAAATGATAGTCACATTAATACCTGTGAAGCTGTGAAATGATAACCATCTTGGAAAACAATTTGGAATTATGCAAATAAAGTAACTAAAATATTCATACTCTCTGAACCAGAGACTCCATTACTGACTATAACCCAAGGAAGCCATCAATTAGAAAAAAAGTCCCCACATACACCAAAATGTTTATAACAACCCTTTTTGTGACAGAAAAGGATTGGAAACAAAGGACATGCCCGTCAATTGGGGAATGGTTAATCTAATCATGGTATATGAG